TTCGAAACAAACTGTTTATATTTATAAAGTATCTGGTTTCCGTTGATATAAAAATTCATTTACAACTTATGAACTGTTGATAAGCACAAATGAATTGATTATTAGTGTACACTGATACAATATTATATCAATAGACAAATCAAAGCTAGTTATGTAACTTAAGTTGATATTATGCTATCCAGTTCATTAATGTCAACTTGTGAAATAAGACTAGCTGAAGTTGTGTTTGTCACCATTTATCACCTCAGTCATAACATTTGTATATTTATATTTAGATATAAACAATTATATTAAACAATAAGATTGAATCATTTATGTATCTCATTAAAAGTCAAATAAAAGCTGAATTTGCTAGATATCTCATAAATAACTTTTCGATACACATGGTTATGATTATCATCTTGAAGACTTTAGTAATTACTGAATGGTTTCAAAATAGAGTTCAGTGGTTAAAAAACCACTGAAAGCCGAGAAGTGTTATGGGAGACTAATCACATGATCACTCCCCTAAACAAGATATATAATTACAGATGTTAAAAGATGAAATAATAAAATAAAGTCGTTGAAAGCTGTTTTAAAAGATGATTATATGAATAATGTTACTTATGAGAGATATTTTATAAATATCTGAACAGAGAATCCAGCGTTATTTCTTCACTGTACGGTTTTTATACTTGTTTAAGATGCGTAAAATATTCGGAAGCAGTTTCATACTCTCTCGTATTTATGGACAAAGTCTTTGTAAAATCAAATACCCAAGTGAAACTTAGATTCCTATTATTCAGTATTTCGATAATCCAGAAGAATACAGACCACATTATTGATTGACCTTTATAAATAGAAGGTCAGTCTGAACAAAAAAGAATATTCCTTTCAATAAATTCTCTTGATGTTCTTACAGTTATTATTATATTTATATTCAAGGATTATCTAGGGAAAGAATTCCAAGTCATCTGGGATATTTTAAGCGAAGAGGGATATCCAAAGAATTTCGTGAAATCTATCACAACATTTAACATTTGTGAACATAAACTGGTGGACGTGAAGGAAAACCCTCTATTTTTTCTGCGTCTAAGACTCAGCGCGGATACTTTGATGAAAATGTTGTCCCAACATCAAATCAGAGAGACAAAGAAGCTATTCTACTCTGGACATCTGTTCTAATGCTTCAGTAGATGTCCAGTGTTCACTACAAAACTAAGAGACACTTTTCCTAATCTTAGCCCCACCTTCCTCATGCACATACCATTTAAACTGTTCTTACGGATCAAGTTATATAAAGCGTATAATAAGGCAGGTTGGCCTTAGGATCCGGGAACATCTGCTAGCTAGGATCAGAAATGGTAATATTAAATATATGACACTGTTGTGTACATTCCGTATATATCTTTTACATAACGCTGGAGTTGTAGCAGTAATATAGACCACATCAACGCCCAGTATTTAGACTGAACACATCCACACGTCATTCCTTCATTGGCTATCTTTGAACTGAATGCTATTCTGTCCTCCTCTTAATCTTTCCTCCTTTCTTTTTCTCCTGTCTAAACGACTTTATTCATAATATTTTATAATTTATCAGCTTCAGCCCAGCAACTCTCAAATGCTATATCAAATTCTCCATACACATAGACACTAAAAGATTATTTCCCTTTAGTATGACTGCGTAGGTGGCAAAGCGGTTAAGACGCTAGCCGACCATGCACATGGTCTGGGGTTCGATCCCCGCCCGACGCACTCCTTTAACTCACTTACCCAGTAATAAGACTGGCGAAGAGGGAAGGTTAGGCATGAGGCTAGCAACCCCATCTTGTAAAAACAAACACTGCTACAGAAACTTTAAGCCTCCAGCTCGAAGCCCTATGTTCCACTGGGAACGTGAAGGAAATAAAAAAATTAAAATATGACTATAATCCATTCATTTCACATATTGATTATTTTATAATGAAGTATCCACTGTGGTCTTACTGTTTTTTCTGTTTAAATATGTACTACCTTTGTACTAGTTCAATCACTCACCAAGCCAATGCTACAAACTTGAAATAACTTATCGATTTTCTTTCCCCTTATTTTATTCATCCGTTATGACTAGTTATTATTGTCATCCATTTCACGCCATCCTGCGGCCATGTTTAGTTCACCATATTTGTTGTAAAAATACTTCTTTCTTTTCCTGTTACTCTACACTTTGATATTTATTCAATTTTAAATCTATAACCGTGTTCTACGTTAAAATCTATTTGTTGTAAATCATTTCAAAACTATAAGAAGAACATAAATAAAATTTATTGAAATGATTATTTTTATTCAAACCAGTTAAAACAATTGTCTTTAAAATAGTATTGGGAAGTTTTAGAAAAACATTTATTTTCTTTCATAGGAAAAAGTCATCCGTTGTGCATATTTTGTTTAAGACAGCAATACCATTTAAAACAATACAATTATACGGGACGGAATGACTATTTTAGCATAGTTAAAACTTTTTAATTGTAAACATTGTATTAGAGAGGCAGTAAAATTACGCCCAAAAATATTTTGTTAAAAGTTGTACAGTGATAAAATTTCAAGGAAAACCAGCACTAGATTTCTTTAGTTTTAAGAGTTTATCACATTTGATCATATCAAGCAACATCTTCGACTTGATTTGGATTCGTTTAGTTAAAAAAGGTGAGTTAAATTAAACGAAAGACGAAATCAACGATTCCCAGCTATCCAGTCATGATTTCAGGAATTCAAAGGCAATTTGCAGGAAAATGAAAAAAAAGATAAAAAACGGGAGTTTGTCTGATAGTCACTTGGAACACAAGTTCTGAAGAGCCTTTACATTACTAATAAACTCATTATCATTTTGCATTAACGTAATGGTAATAAATTCAATTTAGACACTCTCGTTATAATGTCAGCGGTGTCTTTAGCATCAAGAAACTTAGTTAAATGATTTCAGTGAAAAATGCAACGTAGGTTTTTACTCTAATAAAAAGACTTTCCAGGAAGAAATTAAGACTCTACAATATATGTTGTCATGAGTTTAGTAGTAACATTTGAACAATAGATTTAAATGATGTATTCATTTATAAATCGCACTACACTCATTTGATTTGACCTGTCTTTCTTATTTCTGAGGTGCACCTGAGTGCAGAAGTATATCGTGAATAAAATTAACGACACTATCCATGAATACATGCGCCATTAACAAATTGTGCGATATTTTACGGTTTCTTCAATATTATCCTGATTACATACTCGGTTAATGCCTCAAAAGAATGCTGACTATAAAGTTACGTCTTATTTCTTGAAATTCTTTCCAGTGAACCATTGTGTTTTCAAATGGAATGAAAACATATTAATCTGTTTCCAGTTTCCTCTCTATCATAATGAATGGGATCGTACACCATGAGTCTTATAACAATTTGCTACTTTGAATATTTTTATCACGACATATTAGTGTTGAGGGTGACAGTGTTCACATGCTTTTTCCTCAAGAAACGAAGTTAAACTACATTTTCAGTGAAAATCTCATCTCACATGGTAAACTAATTTGTTCTGTCAAGATATTGGTAGGATATCATTCAGTATTTAGAGTGGGGTTCGATGATATCTAACATTTCTGTTGCGCTAACAGATGACTAACTGCACATACAGCTTGAATGGCTCAGTTAAAAGTAATTAGTTCAAGTGAAAACTAGATTAATTCATTTTCAGTGTAGATTTCATCACGAACCAACATCATTTGGTGAGTAACTGAAAACCAGAGAGCACTGGACAGCTGTATCATACTACTTTGAGACAGTTCAACAGTGTCCACTTATGACCCTATTAAGGATCTGACTTTCAGATTACAAGGTCAAGGTCGCTGAATATTCAACCATTTGAGTAGGAATTCAATAACACGTGAATCCTAACGCCATAATTTCGTGATCTAATGATAAAGTGCTCCCTAGTTTACATTGATTCTCTTACTGAAATTAATCCAAATCCATACAAAAACGTATAACCTACAGATAGATTAAGGTTACAGTTTCAAGGGCTAAGTGACAAAATACTCCATAGATATAGGGAGTAGGCAAAGTAGAATGTATCACGTGAATGTAAACTCTGACAAAGACGGAAAGTATTTCAACAGAAATAATAGAAAAGTAGTAGGAATCAAAGAATGAACGAGATTAATTTTCACCATTTTTCAAGAAAAACCAACCAGTCTAGATATAGTTCAATTCAATTAAGATTTTCTCGCCGAATGATAGAACCGAAGTGCTCGGTCTCAGGTTGACATGTCGTCTCCTTCTGAAGATTCTTCGATGATGTGCGGTCATGTACCTTGAAGTCAACTGGTTGCTGGTGACTGGCAATGGAATCCAGGATGGACATATAGTCCCAATTCGGACTCGTCAGGTGGATGTACCTGCATTCCCGTTGCACAAGAAGTAGCTCTCGTGACCCAAGTGGTCCATTGGATAATGCTTTGGCGTTCGAGACGGTGAGTCCTGGTTTCGAGCCTGTGGGAGCTCCATCACGCACTGGGGAATGCAGGTACATCCATCTGATGAATCCCAAGTGGGACGAAATGCGCATCATGGATTCCACTGTTAGTAACCATCAACCAACTGACTTCTAATCTCGACATAATCTTCAAAATACTTATATGATATTCACAAACTTTCCTCAGTTTGTTAGGCTATCATGAAAACGATGTCTAGACTAGGGTTAAAAACCATGTACACAAAAACTACGCGCCTGTTTTTAAGACTAATTGTCTGTTAAGTATTATATACGAGAATTCTGGTGTTTAGAGATGAATGTTTCCTGTCTAGAAACAAAAATGTTATTTTATTTTTATTGAACAGACGAGGAATAAAACATAATATCAAAATAAGAGAATAGGTACATAGATTACGAGAAAGTAAATGGAAAAAAGGCTTTATTTTAAAACGTCCAGAAAATTCTAATTAATGACATAACCAAGATAGTTTAGACTATCACAAAATGTTGTTAATTCCTACCTTCGTAAAATTCGGTCATACTGATCTCCCTGGTTTGGTAAATGAATAGTAGTGATTAAAAATTCACCAATTCTCTAGTTGAATAATCCACTTTTGACTAAGTAAAAAGATTTCCTTCAATTTCACTGTGAATTTTCCCGTCAGGTTTTTCCTCTGAGTTTCATATGATGACAAAAATATCACACTTTTTACAGTCTACATGCATTTCGATTCCAATGAAAAAAAAATTTATGCATATTGTCCAATCACAGTGAAGGTCTATTGGCTAGTATGAGCAGCGTTTGCGTTTTATCTTCATGGTTTAATTCATTCTGTATCATCTGACATTTCGACTATGAATTTGGATGGACAATATTGAACAGATTAGTGTGACAGACACATACTATAGAAGATTCAAACAAAGGGGAATGAGTGGAGCAAAGAAATTATTATTATTATTATTAGACAATCGATCAAGTCTCGACACTGCCTGACCGAATTTTTACAGACTAACCCCAGCTAACTAACTAACTAAAAAGCCGAAAAAATTAGCATTTCCATTCTTCACTATATAGTGACAAACAAAGCGATTCTATAAAATATTCCTCTATTGGTTAAAAACATATGCTGAAAGAAAAAATGTATGCTTTTCCACAATTCCACTGCATTTATTTATCAAAGAGAATAAATGTGTGTTTACTTTAAGGAACTGCAAAAAAAATGCTTATTCGATTCGAGTGATTTCGACAAAGTGTTGTGATAAGATAAGGTCTTGTGAGATATTGTTACATCATTCATGTTCATTGAAGCTATACGATATTTGTCTGCTTTTTCTTCATCAATGCATAATCTGATAATAAATGTCTAAAATAAATATGAGTTCAGTTATTGTAAATTAGATTTTGATATTTCTTATCACATTTAATTTCGAATTCATGAAATAACCTCGATTTCATATAAACAATTACGTAACAGAGAAGGGATAAATTTTGTTAAAGGCCTTTTTATATATTTTGGATATTAGGCAGCATTACTGCTGCAAATATATCAGTTCAGTAACAAGGTAAAATATATAGGCATCATGAAGGATCAGTTCTTCAAGCACATTATCTGGGGGCGTAGTCATTCGTTAACAGCACTAAGGTCTGGCAATTATAAAAAGCACGGTGGAAAACAATGAAGAAGGAATGTACAGTTTGCACTGGATTATGTACAAGCATGCAGTCAATTCCTAAAGTTAGACACCACTTCACAGGCTATTAATTTTAAGGCGTTAAAATTTGTCACATTCATGAAGTTTCCAGTAGTGTAACAGTGTGGTGGTAGAAGACAAGAGACTTGGCAACGCAATATTTGTTTGGAATTTGCTATCTCTATGTAGCAAAATTTTATTTAAATTATAAGAAAAACGTCATTTGCAGAAATCTTCCGTATTGTGCAACTTCTGCCTTTCGTATTGTCTTCCTTTTTCTTTTTTCTGTATCTCCCATGTTTCGCCGATACGCTTGTTTATTTGTTCTCTTTGACGTCAAATCTATTTCTCCGCTATTCGATAATTTCACGCCAATGAGTGTCTCTTTGCATACTAAAGATAAATTTTACCAGCAGAACATACGACAAGTGTACAAAATTGAAATTCAAGAGAATAAGTGTATTTCAGCCAGAAGATTTATAGATTTTTCGACTTAATAGAGATGAAAAAACTATTCTTATGACATTCAGCATTAGTTAACTTTCTGTTACAGATTTCAAGAGATAATAATTTCAAGAATCTAATCAAGAGTAATTAACAGTTTATTTATAGCGGGAACATTGAAAAATCATTACATATGTTACGCTAGCTGTATTCTGGATTCCAAAACAGTATTAGAATCAAATCTTTACAGCCTTACTAGAATGGACAACGAATTAGTATGGACAATCATGGGTGTTTGGTTTTGTGTGATAACATCTCCCCATTTTGTTCGTAGGGGGTTCGACGGATTTTAAATTCATGGATAATCCCTATTCAGGCATTAATGAAAACAAAACACATAGATCAGCGAAGAGACTCTTGTCGGCGAATTCATTTTCTTAACTGTACAATCGCAAATATATATGTGTTATTTTGTATGTATGTGTACATTAAGTTTGTCAAACAAAATTACAATTGAATATGGTTATTTTAACTAAACAGGTGAATATTGGTAATACAAGTCAAGAAAATTAGGTGTACAAAGGTGATGAGTTCTCACAAACCGTTGTTAAAAGAAGTTATGTAATAATAATATGAATAGTTTAATGAGTGAGTTTTACTCGGGATGCACATAAAACAAAGTAGAAAATACGGTTTTAAATTACATCATGAACTGATATAGGGGCAAGAAATCATTAAATACCAGGGTCCCATCCCAGTGGATGAATGATCAATAGATGCGTCTCAATTTGACGACCCTGGGTTCTATCTTTAGTGGGGCCGTAGGTGCATACTTCTGAACTGTTGCAAGCTAGACCAATAAAGCCGTCCAACATTCCCTGGACTACAGGCATTCTCTTATTCAGAAGATAAAAAGATTGCATAAATAATATTCTTCTCCATAATTTCCCCATCTGGCTTTACAGTCATATTTAAATGATACTTAAAGAGGAGTTGTTATTGACGACACTGATGTTTTTTAAACAATATCGGGTTATTATTATCAACAGATTACAGTTCAAATGCATATGCTTGTAATGATATGGATAAAAATGAAAAAATGATAAAAAAGAAGGGGAAACTGCCAGATTTCTACAACTAAGTTATGATAGCCAAAGTAAAGAAAGCTTCTGTACGAACTTCTTCTGAAAACATAAGTCTGTCTTCTATATGTGGATTCTGACGTCTTCAGCTATATTTAGGAGACGGACTTTCAAGGCAAAATTAAAGTTAGTCAAAATTCCATAGATAACTTTAAACGCCTTTTTAACACAAACTCTATTTTGAGTATCTACAAGATGAGGTGAAACAGAGCTACAAACAGACCTTGTTTGTTAAGTGATGAACTATACAGAATGATTTTTCACGATGAACATGCCTAATTGTGTGCCCAGTCAAATGGGTAAACACATGTAGTGTGGGCAAAATTAGGTATTTTATCGTCATTTCTCAAGTGTAAAACTGGAGTGGTTGTCAACAGACAGTGTACTTCTGCTGCAGTGAATGCTCTTTTTAGTGCATTCTTTAGGCCTTCTGTCATTATTTTTTACCGATGTTATTGAAAAGGAAGTGCATATTTAAGAAAAACTGCTTCTTTAGAACAAATGTCAGTATAAAGTTTGAGCACTGTGGAATAGATCAAATAAGGTATAATTATATTTCAATAGTTTACACACAATAGTAAGTTTTGTTCTTGGTAATATTTCGAGTAAAACTACTGCCCGTGTTTACACCATTGTTGGAATTGTTTGATATGAACACGGGCTGTAATTTTGCTCGAAATATAACCAATAACAAAACTTATCATTGTGTGTAAACTACTGAAACGTGATTATACTTTATTCTTTAGAACTGTTAACATACTCGCCTGCCTTGGTGTTAAACTCGTAATTTTACCAGTAAAGATTTTTAGACATTCATTGTTACTAATAATATGCAATTCCTCACTAGAACGGATTACTCTGGCTATGTCATTCAAACACTACTAAATTGCGTTTAAATTTAAAAGCAGCTAAAAAATTAGTATGTTAACCAGTCAATGAAGGTTGCTTATCTTATATCGTTCCATCCTATTTCTTAATCATAAGGATGTTCAGGAATGAAGTACTTTCAATTCCTTCTTTCTCAATGGTAAAACTTATTGAAGGGTGTACATCCTTAAATTCGTCAAGGACGTGATTTGCTTGAATCTCATTTTATTTGTTCAAAAACATATCACATAGATAATGGATTTTCAATTCATCAACTACACCTTTCAAAGGTCAATTCTCTAGTTTGGCGAGGAAAATGGCAGCTAGAATCGGTCCTAATACTGACCCCAAAATTACACTATCAAGTTGTCTGCAGAATTCTTTATGCAATACAAAATGGACATTCATCATGTGTCTAAATCAAATTTTATTCATAGAGTACACATGAATGCGAAAGTCGATGTTACGTCGTGATCTAACTCGAAATCATGTTACAAATTCTTATGCAAAAGATCACCTAATGATGAATCAAAGTAATCTACTATTTGTCAGGTTCTCATTTGAAAACACTTGAATTCTCCATTCTTTTCACTTTTTGTCGGAGCATTAAGTAACCAAGAAACACTTATAATTCACAAGGAGTTAACTGTGCTTTGCGATTACATGATAGTCTAGCTTCCTGATGGTAAGGAAAACGTTTTAATAGTCATTAAAATGTCTCGTAATAAATAGATTTGAAGTATTTTGGCTGAAATTTATACAGTAATTATTACATACATGTAAGCATACGCATTTTGTCTCCTATAAGTTGAAGGATTAGTTGTTTTATTGGATAACTTGGCAATAAGAAAAACAGAACCATCCGGCAGTCTGAAAATACATCTGTTAAACGAGATTTTAAACTGATGTAATATTTGTGCATATACTATGCTCATGTCGTTATTTCTTGAAAAATGACTATCTAGAACTCATCATCTGGATGTACCTGCATTCGCGGTGAGTGCTGGTGTCCCTACCATGAGTCGAACCGGGCATTCATTGTTTCAAACGCCAAGGTCTTCCACTAGACCGCTCAGGACACGATACCTATTTATTTTATAAAGGTTATCAGTTACCATTTGTCTAAGTCAACATTGTTTTTACCGCTGATTGGTTATATCGAAACGTTTGTTCTCTGTTGACATGTCGGCTCAACTGCTAGTTAGCATCTATCAAATAGTAGCACATTAATCCTCAGACACTGTCACAGTGCCCGTACTTGGAACTGAAAAGTCAGCGGGGACTGAACATTCCTGTCCAATATAACCAGTCAACGTTAAAAAAAGAGACATTTACAAGCCCAGTCAAAACCCTATGAGCTTTTGAGCTTTTGATTTTTCGCTGAGAGGCATTTAT